ACATTTTGGATCCCACTAGCTCCTTTAGTTTTTATATTAGGGAGGCAACAACTACCCCTGAGCATGATCTCAAGTTGTATCCATTTACCTACAAGAGCTCAAGATTACCTTTCATTATAGCTGAGTAGTTTTCCATTGTATAAACATGCCATGGCTTTCTAATCAGTCTGCAGCTGATAGGCAAGCTACTACCACTTCTTTCTGGTTCCCTGTCACATAGAGCATTGTCTTCTGACCTTTGGCTTTCAGTCTATAAATCCCCTTTCAGGTTAAATGTGTTTCTTGTATAAGACATATTGATGGACCCTATCTCCTGATCCACTCTGTGTTTCTTTTTATTGGTGAATTGAGGCCATCTATATTAGTGATTTTTTTTGTCTTTTTCCTTTTTATTGGTACTGGGGATTGAACTCACGACTCCCTATTTGCAAGGCAGGTGCTTATGCCACTGAGCTAAATCCCCAGCCCCTATATTAGTGACTATGGCCAACATTCTCTGCCCCATCTTTGTCATGCTATTTTCCTGCTGTTGGTTGCCTACTTTTCCCCTTCATTCCATTTTCTGGCCTACTCGGTAAGCCCCCTCTGCCACTGATCTTAAAGCCATGGTCTATCTTTCTCTGTCTCTGTCTCTCTCTGTCTCTCTCTGTCTCTCTCTGTCTCTCTCTCTCTCTCTCTCTTATCCTACAGTATTTTTTGTGGGGTTGGTTTGGTGGTCATAAATGCCTTCAGTTGTTCTTTGTCATGGAAGTATCTTGTTTCTCCATTAATTCTGAAAGATAGTTTTTCAGGGTACAAAAATCTGGGTTAGAAGATGTTTTCTTTCAGGACTTGAAATTCTTCACTCCAGGAGCTTTGGGAGTTTAAGATCATCGCTCCCAGTGGTCAAGGACCCATCCAGCTTCCAACCACACTAGACTGGGTTCTGCGTTTTTGGGTCTGCTTGGGCCATGCCCAGTGATCTTCTTTCAATCAGGGGAACTAGGCTACTGGAGGAGTTGAGTTTCTGTACACTGGCGGGGAATCTGGGAGTCCTCCCAGTGGTTAAGGACCCGCCCAGCTTCCAAGCATACTAGACTAGGCTTGGGAAGTTTTGTGGCCCAACTAGATTATGCCCAGTGACCTTCTTCAATCAGGGAAGTCGAGGGCACGTGAAGTGAGTTCCACACATTGGTCCTTACCCATGGAGAGCTTTGGACCATCATGCACAGTGGTTAGGTGCCTGCCCAGCTTCCTGGAACACTGGAGGTGGCACGGGAGGTCCTGTGGGTCTGACGGGACCATGCTCAGCAGCCTCCATTCAGTCCCAGGAGCCGAGGGCATAGGAGACAATTTCCAACATGCCCAGGGGAAGCCTTGGAACAACGCTTGAAATATGGAAATATAGGAAAATGATAAAAAGGCAGACCAAAATGCAATCTCAAACCTCCAGCCCATCCAAAGAAAGCCTAGGAGCCCTGTACATAGAGAAAATATATGCCATACACCTGAAATACCTGAAATAATAGCAACTGAAATAAAGAAGCAACTCTGGGAAGCTTTAAAGGAATTCAAACTAGAAATAACCTCCCAGGTAAAAGAAGAAATGATAAAAGTAATGAAAGAGATGCTGAACACATCTGAAGAAGACACAGTTAAAAAATTAGAGGAACAAAACAAAAAGAGAGAATCTCTGGATGAAGAATATAAGAAACAAACAGAATACATGAAAAAGATTCAAAGAGATAGACAGGAAATCAAAAATTCCATTGAAAGTTATCAAAACCACCTCAATGAAAGTGAAGATAGAATTTCAGACCTCAAAGACAAGATTGTAGCTAGTGAACAGGAGAGGAAATATCCTTTAAAAATAACAAGAAATAAGGAAATAACAATTCAAAAGCTGCAAGATGATGCAAAGAAAAACAACATAAGATTGATAGGGATAAATGAGGATAGGGATAGGGATAAAGAAAGGGACAACACAAATGATATCAAGAGGCTATTAACAGAAGTAATAGCTGAAAATATCCCAAACATGAGAATGGAAACTGACATTAGGATTAGTGAAGCATATAGAACTCCAAATAGCCATAACCAAAGTAAAACTACACTCAGACATAATCACCAACCCAGAAATCCAACATAAGATATCACCATCCCAGAAATCCAACATAAGAATAGAATATTAAAAGCTGTTAGAGAGAAAAGACAGATCACCTATGAAGGAAAACCTATCAGAATCACAGCAAATTTCTCAACACAAACAATCAAGTCAAGAAGAGCACAGAATGAAGTATTTCAGATCCTAAAAGAAAATTATTTACAACCTAGACTGATATACCTTGCAAGCTGTCCTTCAAAATGGATGGAGAAATAAGATACTTCCACGACGAAGAACAGCTGAAGAACTTCATGATCACCAAGCTAACCCTGCAAAGAATACTGAAAGACAGTTTAGATACACATAGGAAAAAACCACTAAGCAAGGCAGACAATTAAACAAAATGGAAAGATAAAGATGCAACAGCAGAGAGATAATATGTCAATAATAAACCAATATATAACAGATATAACCATTAATGTACATGGTCTCAATTCACCAATTAAAAGAAACAGACTAGCAGAATGGATCAAGAAACAATATCCAACCATATGCTGTCTACAAGAAACCCATCTAACCCAGAAGGAAACTCATAGACTGAAAGTCAAGGGATGGAAAACAATACTTCATGCAACAGGAACCCCCCCAAAAAAGGAGAGGTAGCTATTCTGTTTTCAGACAATGTGAACTTCAAACCAAAAATGATACAAAGAGATAAAGAAGGTCACAACATACTGGCTAGGGGAAAAATTCAAGAGGAAGAGATAACAATCTTAAATATATATGCACCAAATTCCAGAGCACCCAGTTACACAAAGCAAGTTTAATAGAAATGAAAAATCAAATAAGCAATAACATAATTATAACAGGAGATCTTAACACACTATTGACACCAAGGGACAGATCAACCAGACAGAAAATCAGCAAAGAAATAATAGAAGTGAATCACACCTGTGAACAAATGGACTTGATAGATATATACAGAGTGTTCCATCCAACAACATCAGAATATACATTTTTCTCAGCAGTACATGGGACATTCTCTAAAACAGAACATATACTAGCCCACAGAACATATTTAAATAAATGTAAAAGAACTGAAATCATCCCATGCATGTTATCAGATCATAGCACCATGAGACTAGAAAATAATGATAAAAGAAACTGAAAAAAACCCCACAAACACATGGAAATTGAATAATACACTCTTGCACAATCAGTGGGTCATGGGGGAATTAAAGAAGAAACTAAATAATATCTACAAGCAAATGAAAATACAAATACAACTTACCAGAATCTGTGGGCTGCAATGAAAGCAGTCCTCAGAGGAAAATTTCTTGCACTGAAATCCCATATCAGGAAAACAGAACGAATACAAATAAACAACCTGATGCTACATCTCAAACATCTAAAAAAAGATCAAGTCAAGCCCAAAGCCAAAAGAAGGGAGGAAACTACAAAAATCAGAGCAGAAATTAACACAATAGAGACTAATAAAATAATCCAAAGAATCAATGAATAAAAGAGTTGGTTCTTTGAAAGAATAAATATAATTGATAAGCCCCTAGCCAGCCTTATTATAAAAGGAAAGAAAAAGCTCAAATTTATGCAATAAGGAATGAAAAAGGTAAAATCACTACAGACTCTGTGGAAATACAGAAGATCATTAACACCTATTTCAAAAACCTCTACTCTAATAGGTTCAGTAACACAGAAGAAATAGACAGAGTCCTAGAAACATATGAAGAACCAAAGCTGGGTCAAGAAGATGTAAAACTGCTGAATAACCCAAATTTCTATTAATGAAATTGAAAATGTAATTAAGTCCATACCTACAAAGAAGAGTCCAGGCCCAGACGGATTCACTGTGGAATTCTACAAGAAATACAAAGAAGACTTAATGCCAACACTCCTCAAACTCTTCAATGAAATCGAAAGGGGAGAAATTCTTCCTAAGTCATTCCTGGAAGCAAATATTACTCTAGTACCAAAACTGGAGAAAGACCCAACTAAAAAAAGAGTACTACAGACCAATCTCCATAATGAACACAGATGCAAAAATCCTCAATAAAATACTGGCAAATAGAATGCAGCAAATCATCAAGAAGATTATATACCATGACCAAGTGGGATTCATCCCAGGCATGCAGGATAATTCAACATATGTAAATCAATATATGTAATCTACCATATCAATAAAGCCAAAAGCAAGAATCAAATGATCATTTCTACAGATGTAGAAAAAGCTTTTGATAAGGCCTTATACTCACTCATGATAAGAACCTTACAGAAAATTGGAATAGATGATCTTTACCTCAATATGATAAAGGCCATCTATGACAAACCAACAAACAGCATCATATTAAATTTCCAAAAACTGAATGCCTTTACCTTAAAATCAGGCACAAGAAAAGGATGTCCCTTATCATCGCTCCTATTCAACACAGTACTGGAAATACTAGCCAGAGGAATTAGACGAGAGAGAGAAATAAAAGGGATAAAGATAGGAAAAGAGGAAGTTATCATTTGCAGATGACCTGATGCTCTACATAGAAGACTCCCAAATTCCATTGAAAAATCTCCTAGATATAATAAATAAATTCAGCAATGTGGCTGGATACAAAATCAATACTAAAAAGTCAATAGCACTCCTATACACTAACAACAAAATCACAGAGAGAGAAATAAGAGAAGCCACACCCTTCACACTAGTATCCAAAAAAATGAAGTACTTAGGAATTAATCTCACAAAAGAAGTAAAAGATCTATACAGGGCAATCTGTAATACCCTGAAAAAGGAAACTGAAGTGGATCTCAGAAAATGGAAAGACATCTCTTGTTCATGGATAGGAAGAATAAATATTGTGAAAATGGCCATTCTCCCAATGCAATCCCAATGAAAATACCATCAACATACCTCATAAAGCTAGAGAAATCACTCCCAAAATCCATCTGGAACTAGAAGAGACCTAGAATAGTAAAGACAATTCTAAGCAGCAAAGGCAAAGCAGGAGGCATCACAATCTGACTTGAAGTTATACTACAAAGCAATTGTAATAAAATCAACGTGGTACTGGAATAAAAACAGATCTGAAGATCAATGGAATAGATCAGAAGATACAACCACAACTACAAATATACTCAACCACCTTATCTTTGAAAAAGGGGCCAAACATGTTCACTGGAAGAATGACAGTCTCTTTAATAAATGGTGCTGGAAAAACCAGCTCTCCATATGCCGAAAATGAAAACTAGACCCATGCCTATCACCATGTACTAAACTAAAGTCTAAATGGATCAAAGATCTGAATATTAAAACAGAAACACTAAATCTGTTGGAAGACAAATTGGGTAAAAATCTTGAAGACACATGGGCAGGTACAGAATTCATGAACAGGAATCAAACTGCACGGGAAGTACTTCCCAGAATCAGTAACTGGGATCTCATCTTATTAAAAAGTTTCTGCATGTCAAAAGAAATCTCCAGCATAGTCAAAAGAAAATCTACAAACTGGGAAAAAAAATCTTAGTGAACTGTCCCTCAGACAAAGGTCTTCTGTCTAAAACATATCAGGAATTTTAAAAAAATCAGACCCCTGAAATTCAAAGACCCAGCCCAAAAATGGGCATCTGAGATTAATACACAGTTCTCAGATGAAGAAATACAAATGGCAAATAAATATATGGAAAAAATGTTCACCATCATTAGTCATTAGAGAAATGCAAATTAAAACCACACTGAAATTTCATCTCATTCCTGAAAGAATGGCCAAGATCAAGAAAACCACCAACAACAAATGCTGGAGAGGCTATGGGGAAAAAGGAACTCTCCTGCACTGTTGGTGGGAGTGTAGACTAGTGCAACCATTGTGGAGGTCAGTCTGGAGATTTCTCAGAAAGCTGGGACTGGAAGCCCCATTTGACCCAGCTATACCACTTCTAGGCATATTCCCAGAAGAACTGAAAGCATCATACCACAATGATATATCTGCACCCATGTTTATAGCAGCACAATTTGTAATAGCTAGGTCTTGTAAACAACCTAAGTGTACAACTGAGGAATGTATTAAAATTTGTGGTATTTTGAAACACTGGAGTATTACTCAGCTTTAAGGAATGATCTCATTGAGATATTTATAAATAAATGGACGCAACTTGAGACCATACTCACAAGTGAAAGAAGTCAAAGTGACATACATAAATCCTGTATAGTCTCTCTAGTGTAAGAAATGGTAAGAATACATAAGATTTTATGGTAAACATGATTCCCCATTACATTGTTTTAAAGCCTTATATTGTTTCCATTCATTAGTTGAAATGGTTTTATCCTGGGTTGTTTAATTTTATTACCTGTGATGGTATGAACAGCTATTTTGAAGAAAACAAGATATTATAATAGCCAATGCTGACTTAATATCATCTTATTTTGAAGTCCTACCACATTTTTGTTCTTCTGTTTCCAATTGGTTGTATCATGTAGTATCTTATTGAATATTATGTGTGGTAGTATAAACAAATTTTTTATGGACAATGAGAAAATTTAATAACCACTGTTCATTTTCTGTTATTTGGCTCTCAATGCCCTGTAATACTTTCATTCTCTTTAATGGTTTTATACTATTTTGTTGTTTGATACTATTGTATATGAAGGTATACTCAACTATTTCAATGAAAGAGACATCATGGTAGTAGCTACTGTTAATATCGGGTTGCCTTGTGCTGAAATACTGTGTTGCTTAAATTGTTCTGTTCTGATCTGCTTTGTTATGTCCTCTTTTATCTTCATCTCTTTAAAATAAAAAAAATTTTTAAAAGAAATACTTCACTCCAAGCTCTTCTTGATTTGATGGTTTGTGTAAAGAAGTCTGTCATGATTCTGATGAGTTTTCCTTTATAGGTGATCTCTTTCTTTTCTCTGACAGCTTTTAATACTCTGTTCTTGTGTTGGATTTCTGGAATGTTGATTATTATCTGTTTGGGTGTAGATTTATTATGGTTATAGCTGGCTGGAGTTCTATATGCCTCACTTACCTAAATATGATTTCCTTTTCCTATGCTTGAGAAATTTTCTGAAATTATTTCTGTAAATAGCCTTTTCATTTCATTTGTGTTGACCCCTGCTTTTTCACTCACATTTATTATTCTTAAATTGTGCTTCTTTGCATCATCTTGTAGCCTTTGTATTATTACTTCCTGGTTCCTTCTTAATTTTTAAAAGATCTTTCCTTTCACAATCACAAGCTGCAAACCTGCCTTCAAGGTCTGAAATTCTATCTTTAGCTTCTTTCAAGCAGTTTTGCCAGCTTTCAATGAAGTTTTTAATTTCCTGGTAATCTCTCTGAATCTGTTTCATGTATTCTAAGTCTTTTTTATATTCTTCATTCAAGGTTTCCCTTATTTTTCTATGCTCCTCTATTCTTCCATCTATATCTTTAGAGGTGCTTAGCAATTCTTTTATTATGTTTTTCATTTCTTCTCTTACCTAAGACAGAATTTCTGTTATAATTTCTTTTATAGCCTTGTGAAGTTGTTCTTTACTTCAATTGCCATTACTTCATAAACTGCAGGTGTGTGACTCCCAATTTCTTCCATGTTTACATCTCCTGGACCAAAACTGCTTGGGTTGGAGGCAAGAGACTGCCTTTTGCTTTTTCCTCTTGTCATAATCCTAGTTTCTTCCAGACAGGTGGGTAGTGAGGTCCCAGGCACTTCCTGTGTTGGCTACAATTTTTCTATAGTGAGACTATTTGATTTTTCTAGCCAGTGCTGGCTACGGGTATCTGATGGTGACCACTGGATGCACAGGTGTAGGGCTGTCTGCTGCTTTTCCCAGCCTGCTTTGGCTCACTGGTGGCTGAGGGAGTACACGCAGGGGCAGGGGCGCGGTAGGGGAAGGGGCAGGCTACTGCCTCCCTACTGAGCTGGTTAACAGCAGAGAGCCCCCACCATGTAGAGTATGTAGCGGGGAGCTGGCCACCACCTCTACACTGAGCTGGCTGGGAATAGATTTAGGGAAACCTCAGCGATGGCTGTTGGAATATGCACAGGGGCAGGACTCAGTCTAAGCAATTTTCACCAGACTGTTCCCAGCTAGGAGTGGCTAAAGGAAGCCAACTGCAGCTCTAGTTTCAGGCTTATCCTGCCTGATTCCAAAACAGCTCTCAGTCAATCACCCTCCCTGTGGGAGGACCAAGTCCTCTGCACTCAAGACCAGCTAGTGTAGTTCTCTACATCTCATGACAACCAATTTATAACTACAGCTATGTTATTATGGCTATAGTAATAAAATCAGCATCATAGTGCCAAAGATGAACTAAACATGGACAAACCCTAAGGACCAACAATGTATCATCCTTAACCACAGTAAAGAGATCTATGATTATAGTATGAGTATTATGACAAATAAAATATTGACCTACTATTTATCTATAGTAAATATCTACTAAGTGGAACATCCCTACTTCTACTAACAAAAGAACAATAATAGCATAATATTAACTATCAAGACATTCATAAAGCTTAGTAATTATAATAATACAGGTAGAGAGTTAAGAACTGGATAATAAAGTAAAATTTGAAAATTCAATGGGACATGAGGACAGAAAGTAATATAGGAGATCCTTTGAAAAATAAAATGAAATTTATTGCTTGAAAACAGTCAATGCAAAGAATGAACAAGATAAACACGGAGCAAACTACAGGAAGTAAAAGAAAGATAAGAAGGAAGCGGGTATGGCAACATATGCCAATAACCCCATGCAGGAAGATCACTGTAAGCTCAAGGTTAGCCTGGGCTACACAGTAAGTATAAGGCCAGCCTGCACTAAAAGAAAGATTAAGTAAAAAAAAAAAAAAAACCTTTAATTTGTGAACAAATAGTTTCTTCCCAAGATCTGACATCTTGGGACTAGTCAGTCATGATTTTATCTACCTATCTTGGGCTTTATGGGTTTTTGAGGTACCTTCCATGGCCCCTCTGATTGTTCACCCCTGAGTTTTGTCATCCAAGCAAGGTATGTTTTTGATCACATTGGTAAATGGGAAATGTGATCAGTCCTCTGGTATTTGCTGAACGTAGGTTGCCAGGTGGATGTTCAAGTGGACTGCTGGACTTAATGTCAACACTCTAAAGTCCAGGGCGTATGCCATTCCCAGCCTTAGCTTACTTCTCTAGAAGGTCTCTGTCTAGTCCACTCCCTCTCCATGGTGGTCACCTATAACTATTTCTCATCCAGTCAATTTAGGAGAGTAACACTGGGATCCCTGAAGTCTCTGGCCAGGTCCATACCTTCTCCATGTTTCTGCAGGCATTCTGGGCATAGTCCTTATCTATATCAAGTCAGTTTATTAGTCTGCACCTCTGCTGCCCCATGGCAAAGGGAAGCAAAATGTTCTAGGGCCATCTTGGAGTTGGAAGATTGTTACACCCTTGTGTGGGCAGTTGTTGGGCCTGCCTATTTGCATTGAGGGGTCCTGCACTGAGGTTTTTAAATTACTGATTCAATCTTCTTATTTGCTACTGAGTTGCTCAAATTTCTATTTATTTATGACTCAGTTTAATGAAGTATTTTTCTGGTCTACTCAAATTGTTAGTATATAATTTGTTCATAGTGGTCTCTTATAATCCTCTGCATTTCTATGGTACAGTAAGTCCCTGACTTATGAACATTTCAATTGTGAATTTTCAGATTTTTATAAAGGACCTTGCCTTTGATGTGATGTGAACAATTCATAGAAGTAGCTCATATGTCTGCTGGATACTGTCACAGATGCACTGCTGTGTGTTCACTGTATGCAATAGTGTACACTAGTACAGTACTCAGGGCCCAGGATGTCCAGAAACAAAAGGAAAAGCCGTGGGGGTGTGGAAGAGACTGCTACGAAGTGTAGAGCAACATACACTGTACTGTATATTTGTGTCAAAGGTACACCAGACTCACTTTGTTGGACTTAGAAATGAATCC